GGGCTGCCGCCTGGCAAAAATTGGTTTGAAAGTTGACTCGCTTTTCAGTGTTTTTCATGTAATCACATGGCCATTCCTCACAAACCCACCCACTCCCCACCGCCCACTCTAAGAGGGGTCTGGGAGGGGGCTAAGCAGCCAAGCAGTAAATCGCGCTGACTGCTGCAAATGTCCGGCATCAGCATCCCGCTTAGAATTCCCAACCCGGGCTTTGTCTTCACCAGATTGCTCCGTTCTCCGTTCCCAATCCTCGATTCCGTTTTGTTTCGGTTCCTTTTCACGCCCAGGGGGCAGGGCCGATCGTCCCGATTAATGCCTCATCATTTGCAGCGGGGGCCGGGGAGCGGAAAAGCGGAAAAACAACGCAAATTATCCGACTCTGACAGGGCGTTGCCAGCCAAGTCAATCGCCTTCGATTGTCTCTGCGAAGTCCCAGTCTCATTTGGCCTAATGGCTGCCAGGATGCGTGTTGGCCAAAAGTTGATTGCGTTACAAGCCTTTTCAAAAGTTATTACCTCGACCTCCTTTTTCCAAATATTTCATCTGAGTTGGACTTATAGATACATTGTTTGTTTCCTGCTAATCCCAAAAGTGTTTTGGGGGCGTTCCTCCCTGCAATCCAAAAACAAAACATGAAGCCACCGCAAGAGTAAATCAAATAGGCCGCAAAAATATCATACACTTAAGCCGGGAACTGAAATACAAATCTTAAGGCCAATTAATCTGGCAGTGCAATATTATGATGGTGTCGATTACCCAAACAGACAGCCACGAGCCACCGACACGTGACCAGGGGATATGGCTTTTTCTAGCGAGGATCCTGCCTGGCTGTCAACTAATCCTGTGCATAATGTTGCCTAAATGCGAGCTCACGTCAGACTCAGGTCTCAGGTCTGGGCTCTGGCTGAGATAATCACTGAGAAAAAATGGATGGTCTATTAACCTAGCCAAGTAACTAACTCGCCACAAGCCAGCCCTAAAAGTAGAATAGGTTTTTCCTCAGTGCATTATTGATTCCCCAGCATCGAGTGGAGACTGCTGATCTGTGGAAGCCTTTTCCTCCGAATCTGCCGACGTCAAAATGCTGGAGATCCGACTCTTTTCTCAGAGGCGGCTCAAACGGAGGCCGCCATTGTGTGTCGCGGCCAAATGATGTGCCAAACTGACACTTGCCGATACACAGATACGGCCACTCAAACACCATTAAGGCGGGTGTGCGGCTACGCGGCGGCCACCATAAGGAGGTAATACTGTAGAGGGGGGCATTGCCATATTCCTGTTGATATTTGCCGGAATGATTGTTAGTTTTATTTTATTTTGTGACAATTTCAGCAGCAGCAACAGCTACAGCAGGAAATAATAAAAATGCAAACAAATCGTTAGATTTTCCTATCGAAGTGTTTTAGCCAAAGCCATACACCCCACCCACCCCTCGTGGCCGTTGGTTTGTGTGTGTGGCTGGTGTTATTGCCTTTTGTTGCTGGATGTTGCTGGATAGGAGCACAGTGGGCTGGTTTCATTAAATTCAATACTCCTCGTTTTATATCGACTTTTTTATTCAAAACTCGATATTCAAAAGCAGTTTCCATTAATTCTACCGACATGGTACATGGTAACGTTACAAAGATTAATGATATTGATTAGCAAGTACCCTGAGACTTATAAATAAAATTCTAATATCGATCGGTAATATCAAAGCAAGCGGAAACAATCAGGAAGCCATAATTAATTAGCCCGAGGGTTTGTGAGTGCGATTTTTGAGCTGGAAACCCCCAATCAGGCCCACGGTGGTGCCCTGATGATGATGACGCCGGGAGCTGCGATATCAGAAGGCTGAGACGGCGATGGGATCCGAGAGCTGAGAACCAAACTGAAGCCCGGCAATTTGTGCAATTTTTCTTGTTTAGATTGTTTTCGGTGTTTGGTGTTTGCGTTGTCGCCGGGCTGTGTGAGTTTGGTTTTATGCCTGCGATAAGCCCGCACACTGGCCCATAACCATTCTCATATTATTTGTAAGGATTTTTGCATTTATTGCCAGCGCTTTCAAGGATTTACCTCGCCAGCGGAGAGAGACCCAAACCCTAAACCCCCGGCTGAGCCCGAACCCGATCCGAATATGGTTGCAATAGTTATCTTAATAGTTATCAGCGGATGGTTGTTGTCGGTGCAGTTAGTGCGTGGAGCGGCCACTTTATTGGCTCTTGCCAGTTGAATTCGATGCCAATGGGCCGGCGATGGAGACGTTTGCCCTCTCGTGCCGTAAATCCATTAAATTGCCCCAAATTAAACTAAACTAAAAAGCCACGGAAATGGTTTATAAAAAACGGAGCGGAAGCGGAAGAGGGACGGAGACGGGGATGTGCGACAAAACTGTTGAAAACTTGTAAATAAACTGCCGGAATGAGAGCGGCAATTACACGCCTCGAATTAACATCCGCATGGAACAATAACTCAACTTGTGTAGCAACCCTCTGGCTGCCAAGGGTATGTAGGTATCTTGAGGTCCCTCCAAGCCGTATCTTAAAGGTGCCGCTGACAGATACAGGACTACCTACAGCAGATCTCCGCTGAGTGATGGCGGAATGAAAGAAATAATATGCAGTCCGGATCCGATCCGATCTGTAATTATTCCCCTTTCATTCCAGCGATGACAGTTTGTCAACGAGTTGGCATATTAACAGTGTTAATTACTCACCATCGGCATAGCTGAGTCGTGTAAGTGGAGCAGATGTTGCATTTAATAATAGAGTGATGAAGAAATTAATTCACCGGCAGTTATGGCCAGTTGTCTAGGCTTAGGTATTAGCATTGCTTTATGGCCACCTGGTCAATGGGAAGATGTAAATGACATTTCCAAATCGAAACCAGTCCAAACATCCATCACGGGCCACTGCAAGACAAACAAACAAGCTGCCAAACAAATAACAATAACCCAAAACAAAGCAGCACACACTCAGAACTCAGCGGGTGTCCGTCATTAAAAAGATGACAAAGCGTTGTCAACAAGAAATTTTTTGATTAACGACTAAAATGCCACAGCGATCGGTCGCAGCGATCTCATCGAAGACGTGGTCCCCACAGACCACAACAAAAAAGTTAACCAGAAAAAGCTAACGATACAAAAAAACAGACCAAACCAGGCAGCAAAAATTTGTTGAAGGTAAAATATCAATTTAAAAGGCAATAAAAATATTTCATTGCTATGGATCAGATCAGGCTCTGTGCTTGGTACGGATCCAACGCGATCCGATCTGTTGACTCTGTCGATATTCCGTTTCGATTTCGAATTAAAAGATTATGACGATAATAAACTTGACTAATCATTTTTATTACAGCCAGCGCCATCTGTTACCACGGAAATCTTGGAAATACGATTTTCGGGATTTTCCCAGAACTACCATCTCGATAAACCCCGATCTGGTGACCCCGAAGAAGAAATGCCACGGTGGTTTATTAATTTTTCATAACTTAAATACATATATTTATTTGTTCTTGTCAATAAATTTACTTTTATTTGCATTTGTTTTGTTTTGTGTTGTTTTTTTTTTCTTGGTTTTGCATAATAAATTATGAGACTATTCTTAATGCTTACGAACAGATTGAGATACATTCGTATCTGTGTATAATTTAAGTGTGGTAATCAATACATGTACTTAAGGCTAGAGGTTAATTCTTCCAATGAAGTGAAATTAGAGAGTGTGTGTGGTGTGTTTGGGTGTGATTCGTGGATCGGGGATTGTCCCCTGGGCTAACAACTAAATTAACTATGAATGTTAGATATCTTTTGTGGTTCTCTCATCTGTGATATGGAAAGCATTTTGCTGGGGCTTCGACTGGGTTTCCCCCTCTGCCAACCAGCAACTCGTAATTTGTATTTTCTTTTTTTTTTACATTTAATATCACAATTTCTCATATATATTTTTGTTTGTTTGTTTTCGTTTTTTTTTTATTCCTAACCCGATCTCGAAAGCAAAGCGTTTGGATTTCGAAATTTATGCTCCATAATTAATAATTAATAATAATAATAATAGGTAGTAGTATAGAGGGCGTGTGTTTGTATACGCATTATGTACAAGAGGTGGAAAATAAATCTAATTTACGAGTAGTAGGAAACAAAAGCCTGCGCTCGGCGTTCGCATCTAAATTTATAGCATGTCGTATTATTGCACATTCCAAATAGATTATTAACATATATGTGTCTCTGTGTTCTGGGGGATTTTGGTTATAATATATCATATATATGTATGTACACATATCTGCTTGAATCTTGCTTAGGTACCTATCATATTTACTTTAGCATATACCTTAAGATTTGCTTTAAATTCGAATTTTGATTTTACTACGCCTTCACTGTCCGCTTCAGCTGCTTCTGCTTCAGACACAGATACAGATACAGTCGCAGAGATACAGATGCAAAGATACATCCGTGTGCCTGCTTCTGCTTTTAGAGGTGTATGGTGTTGGTGGAACACGAAACGCTATCAGTCTCTTCATACCAAGCAGCCTTTGGTTCCATCTCCGGGTTTTTCGATTTTTTCAAATTATTCATTTTTGTTTAGCTGGAACACAAATCGCTTTTGATGCATCTTTGGATACGTTTCATGATCCGTCCTCGCCGGTATATTGGTATACCGGCAGGCTATACGGTTCTCCAGATCGTCAGATCATAAAAAATTGTTTATGAAAGCTGTTTAGAGCTGCCCCGGAGCATAATCATTCTATCGATCATGGATCAGCCCCGTTTGTTGTTAGCAACTTTTTTTGTTCACTTTTCTTTTTGAAACAACAATCAAATAATATTTTTGTGGGCAACATTTTATAAATATAAAAGATTTCTGTGTACTCGAGTGATCTTTACCAGACTCGGCCTCTATATCTCTCTCTCTCCGATTTTGCTCTATATCTTGAGATCATTGGGTTGCGAGAATCGATTGCATCTGACTGATTCTGATTTGGGGCTGCGATCGCCAGCGATCCTCCGATGGAGCAAGGTCATCTTCACCTCCATGGGTGGCGATTATTGGATGGATCGTGCTAGCGGTAACTGAGATTATACTTATTCGCGATCGGCGTTCAAGTCACTCATCTACAAGAAAGAATAACAAAAGGAAAGGCTTGGTAAGTAAAAGAAGTTGAAGGTTTGTTTGTTTGGGGATGTAATTGGGAATGTTTTTGAAGGATAATACTACTCATATTACTTTAGGAATGGAATGGGATGGAAAGGAATGGGATTGGGGGCATAAATATTGAAAAACTTACATACTTTACGGCACGATTTCTGAAGGTCTCCTGCTCCATATCGCGAATCTTGTGGGTCAACATGTGTTGCTTGAGATTGCCCTGAAAACGTTAAAAAAAACAAAGAAAACTCTTATTAAATTTATGTCTTTAAGTAAACAAATATTCCCCAATTAAAATATAAGAAATCCCCCAAAACTTGCAAAAGTGAATAAAATAAAACCCACCTTGGTCGTGAAGCCGCGATCGCAGATGCTGCACTTGAAGGGCCGCTCCTTGGTGTGGCTCCTGTAGTGGATCTCCAGCGCCGAGTGGCAGGGGAATGTCTTGTAGCAGATGCCGCATGTGGTGCTGCCCCGCACCCCGCTTAGCGCCAAAGGATTGAACGGAGCCGCCGGCATCACCGACTGGGCGATCTGGTTCATGGCGTTGCACATGTTCTGGGTGGTGGCGGGCGGGAAAAGCGGGAGGTTGGGGAACATTCCAAAGGGCGGTCGGGCGCCCATGAGCGGATTGGGTGGCGGGCCCGCAACCTCTCCCGGCCGCTGCGGCTGAGGCGGTTGCGGGGAGGTCTGGCGTTGAGCGGCGGCCGCTGCTGCTGCCGCCGCTGCTGCCGCTGCCGCCTTCTGCTGGGCCTCGGCAGCCTCCCGGCGGAGCTGCTCCTGATGCTGGTGGAGTGCCGCCATCTGCTGGTGGTGGTGGTGCTGGGCCGCCGCCGCCGCTGCCACCGCCGCCTGCTGCTGCATGAGGTGCTGGTGCTGCTGCTGCAGGTGGTGCTGCAGGCCTGGTGGCAAACAGTCAATGCCCACGCTGGGAGGCAGAGGGGAGGTCAGCAACGAGGTGGGGGCATGGCTGGGACTGCGCGGAAGGCTGGGCGGACTGCTCACCACGGGCTTTTCCTTATTGGTGGCGGGCAAGGGGGACCTGGATGCAGGCTGAGCTCGCGGGGTCAAATCCAGAGCTCCTTGGGAGGCCTCAGAGCGGGCGGGCGAGGCACTGGGCTTCTGCACCACCGACGATGTGGTGGGTGAGGTCGGAGCCGAGGTGGAGCCCACAGAGTGGCCACCATGGCTGGAGGCCGAAGATCGCGGCCGCACAGGATTCGTGTTGACCACTCCCGTGGCATCGATCCTTAGCTTTTGCTCAAACAGTAGGGACTTGAAATCATCCCCGGATCGTGGCCTGTCGTTCTGCTCGTGCTCCAGATTGCTGTTCGACAGATGCTCCGAAGAGACATCGTCGTCGTAGTCCTCGCCACAGTCCATGTTGTCCTCCAAGTCGCCCTGAGAAGACTCCGAGCCGAGGGCTCCGTTGTGCATGCTGTGGTTGGGATTCGGAGGACCTCCTGCTCCAGGCAGAGCTCCGAAATGGAAGGCGGCAGCCGCAAAGGGATTCATGAAATGTCCCGGCATCATGGAAGGCGGCGGATCACGGATCTCTGCTGCCTGGATCTGCTCCGGCGTCAGATCCGTAGGCTCTCCGGTGTGCAGGCGTATATGCTGCTGAAGAACGAGGGCGTTGGAGTACTTCTTGTGGCACACTGGGCACTGGTGAAAGTTGCGCATCGGCGGCCGGATCTTGTGCACCGCCATGTGGGTCTTCAGGTTGCCCTTGGTGGTGAAGGCCCTGCCGCAAATGCGACACTTGAAGGGACGCTCCCCGGTGTGGGTGCGGTAGTGCATCTGGAGGGCACTCTTACAGGACAGGACGCGGTCGCAGACCACGCACTGGTTAGGGTCGCTGATCTTCTTGTTCTTCATCAGCTCCTTCAGCTTCATGGTCTCCGAGGTGTTCGACACCTCGATGAAGTTCTCCCAGGAGTTGTCGTTGCTGTGGGGTCGAGGCAGCAAGGCTGCCATCTCGTGCTTGATGGGATTGAAGAAGGGAGACCTGGCCATGTGGTGAGGATGGTGATGCGGAGGTGGAATTCCAGGCGGCGGTACTCCAGCTCCCGCCGGCGACCGCACCGGAGAGTGGTGCTCCGGCGACAGGGTCTTGGCGGTCGTGAAGTTAAGCGGGAACCGATCGGCGAAGAAATCCTCGCGAGGCGGCAGCTGTCCTGGTGTAGGCAGGTGATCCAGGTGCGAGCCCGGAGAGGGTTGAGGGTGCATCAGGGCGGGTGGCTGGATGGGCTGCACCACCGGAGGATAGCCAAGGTGGCTGGGTCGGTGATGGTGGGGCGACGGCTGCTGTGGCAAAGGGGAGGGACTCCTGCGATGCTCCTCCTTGTGAACTTGCTCCTGTTCCGGTTCATCATCCACGCGCTCCTCCTTGATGCGCACCTCCAGTGGCAGGGGCTCTGGCTCCGGCGAGGAGTTGCGATTGTCCTGCTCCTCTTCTCTTTGGCTCATTGCCTCTTCTTCGTGCTCATCCTGCTGCTGCTGATGCTCGTCCTTCTCCTCCTCCACGATTTCTTTCTTCACCGGAATAGCTGCCACTGCCTCCTCCTCTTCCAGACGCGGCGAGGGCTTACGCAGATCCGTGGGCAGGTCCTGAGGGAAGAAGGGATGCGGAGCACCGGCTCCCAAGCTCTTCAGGATCTCCATGGGCGGACGATAGAGGTTCTGCAGTCCCGGGAAGGCCGAAGCAAATGGTCCGGAAGGCGGCGCCGGCGAGTGGGTGGGCGAGCTGTCTGTGGGGGACATCTGGTCCAGCAGAGGCGGGTGGAACTTGTCCATGTGCTCGGGGATTGGAGTTGCGTTCATCGGCACGTGGGGGAACTTCTGGGCATGCCGCTGGAAGTGGACCTTCAGGTTTCCCTTGGTGGTAAAGCGACTGCCGCACACATTGCACTTGAAAGGACGCTCTCCGGTGTGAGATCGGATGTGGATCTGGAGCGCAGAGTCGGAGCCGAAGACCTTCCCGCAGTACCGGCAGCGGTGCTTGAAGAACGGCTCATTGCGACCCTTGCCGTCTCCGTTCTTGTCTCCGAAAGCAAAGTCATCGGCCATGTTATTGGCAAGGATGCCCTGCGAAGCAGAGTCCAGGACCTCCTGGGCCCTTTTTTGGAGCATCTCCAGGGAGTTGGGCTCCGGCAGGTCATCGTGGTGGGTGATGATGCTGGAGGCCAGGTCTGAACCGAAGGGCAGGGGAGTGTTTTCGAGATCTTTCAGCTTGGAGAGGGCATCCTGCGAGGAGTGGTTCTCCTTGTGGATGGAGGCCTCAGAGCTCAGTCTACGGCTAGGCTGCGACTCCAGGTCGTGCTCTCTCCTCCGCTTCAGGGTTTCTCCCGGAGAACTGCAGGTCTCTCGCAGTGGAACTCCGGCGTTGATTAGATGCTGCCGGGCCTTGGCCTCAGCCATGCGGGCCTCGGCCTTTTGGCGGAGCTCCATGTCTGCGATGCGCTCTTCCTCCTCGTATGTGTCCGTCTCCTGTTCCTGATCCTGGTCCACCTCCTGCTCCTGCTCCTCCTCCTGTTCGTCCTCCGACTGCTTGGCCTGGTTGAGGGCCAGCTGCGACTGCAGCTGCTGGATGAGCTGGATCTGGAAGAGCTGTTGCTGCTGCAGATTGAAGAGGGTCTGCTGCAGGAAGGCGAGCTGCTTCATGGCCGCCTCGTTGTCCGCCCCGGTGGATCCGTTGGCAATGGTCTTGGCCGCGAACTGGGCAATGGCCATCTGCATGTTCTGAATGGCCTCCAGGGTCACTGGCGCGCCGGCTGCTCCTGGCAGACCTCTCATCTCGGTGGGAAGCATACTGCTTGGCTCCTCCCCCATCTCCACATCAACCTCGATGTCCTTCTCCTTTTCGGGAGCTCTCTCCGTGGCCGCCTCTTCGGCACTGGCCTCGGCGACCGGGGAACTGGGCATCGAGCCACTGGCATTGGGCTCGTGCTCCCGTTCGCGGTCCTCAGAATTTGGTTTTGTCATTACTACCTTGTTATTGTTATCCTCTATGGATTCGATTTCAGTGTTCTCCAGCGATTCTAATGGCTTTTCTACCTGTTCTTTGATGGAGGATACCTGTTGATCCTGATCGTGGTGCTCCTCTTCCGGCTCGGGACTCCGGCTGGGACTGGCCGTAGTAGTGGCCGTGGTCAATGGCGAGCAGCCACCATTCTCTTCTTGATCGCTGCCTGTGTCTGAAAGAACGAAATAGAAACATCGTATTTTTGTTAAAAAAAAGCTTTAAAATAAAACTTAAAACTTATTCAGTTACATTGTTTGCCAATTTAAATCTTAAATTTAAATAGTTTTTCCTCAAAAACCCATCATGATTGTGACTAATTACAAAAGTTACAACAAATCGTATTGGAATGTGCAGCTTTTTTCTGCCGCTGCTGCTCTTGCTGTTGCTATTGCCGAGTAACTTGGAGTTGGAGCTAAACCAAAATAGTCGCTGGCTGGTTGGGATTGTTGGCCATTTCCCGATAACTTGGCTACCTGTTAGCTGTCTCCGTCTCTCCGCCCTGCCACCCCCTCGACCACTCCGCTGCATATGACTTAATCGCCGGCAATTGTTCGTTGCAATGCGTTAAAGTTGCTGGCGGGTGTGGGGAGATTGCTCCTAGCTCCTACCTCCTAGCTCTTGGCTCTTTCCGATGCTGCTGCTTTGGCTGCCAACTGAATGCAATTACATTTCTTGTTAAAGCATGTGTTCTCTCTCCTTTTCCCTCTACCTCAGCCTCGGCCGCAGCTGTTTTTTGTTTTTCCTTTTTTTTTGTTGTGCTGCCCACAATTAGTCTTCAAGTCGATCGCCGGCAGTTGCAATTGTTGCTGTTGCTGATGCTCGTGTTGCTGCTGCTGCTTGTGCTGGCCAACTGATGCTCACTTGTTGCCAGGTAAGCTGTCCAAGGGGAGAAAGCAGTTGACAGCCGTTTGGCCTGGTCCAGTGCCTCTGACTAATTAATCGCGGCGAGCCTAAAAAGCAAACCAAGTCACAGATTGGCCCGCCAGCAACACCAGCAACACTAGCAACACCAGCAACTTTTGCCGCACACGCACATATAATATAATTTATGATAAGTTAAAGCCAACAACGAACTCGGGCCAACACACCACCTCGTTCGATATATATAATAAAACATATTTCTGCACAAATCAAACGAGTTGGGCAAGTTTTCTGTTTTCGACCACAAAAGATACTCAGATACAGTACAAAAAAAAAGATACAGAGATAGACTGGGCCTGGCGACTATCAGCGCCATTTGCATATCGATCGCATTAATATTATTTTTATTATTACTTTTCGCTCGCAAAATTCATTTTTTAAAAAATCGTTTTGAATTTGTGAAATATTAAGAGAGTGTTTGTTGTTTTGTTAAAAGTAAAATTTTGTTTTTGGTTACAATTACAGTTCAAAAACGAAACCGCTCGGCCGAGGAGTTATGATTATGATTGCTGATAAGTGAAGTGTATTTTAATTAATTGAAATTAATTATAATGTTGCCATAAACCTTTCAGACAGCGGCAGTGGCGGCGCGGCGGCGACTCGCAGCTCACAAGCAAAATAAAACAACTTCCAATTATGACGAACATAAAATTGTCTCGAACATGGTTAAGTCATTTTGCAATTGGTAATAAAATTGTTAAATTTACAATAACAATAAACGCAGCTTGTTTATTGTGTTGGTGTAACCCAGGGGGGAGCTGGGGCATCTGGGGGATCTGGAGGAGGAGGAGGCCATTGCCTTAGCGGCCCGATTCGATTTCGATTTTTAGTTTGCGCGTATTTTAGTTCCTCGGACGCGTGGGCGCCCAAAACAAAATATCCAAACATTTAACTTAATCTATACAGCATGTATGGGTGGCTGTGTGTATATATCGATTCCGCACGTGTGTGCCTGTGTGTGAGCCGTTTAAAGATTTATTTTTTTTGTCTACCAAAAATGTATTTTGTTCTACTGACAACTGGCTAGGTTCATTCCGGCCATTCCGTGCGTTCTGTATCTATGTATCTGACAGATAAATAAATATGAAATTGTGAAACGAGACGCTGTCGGCAGGAAATTATATTTCCCATTGTTCCTCCATATAAATTAAATCGCGCCAGTTTAAAGGTGGATTAAGTCAAGCCATAAATTCAGCAGTTCGGTCTGTTGGCTAAAATCGAATGAGTTATCTCCACTCTGCATGCGCAACTAAATCGAATAAATCCCACCCCAAATGGAGGGCCCCAACACCGCTGACGAATACTCATAATTGCTAACCCCAGTCTGTCCATCAACTCATTAACCAATGTCAACTTTTTGGCATTTTATGTGTCCAAATATTTTCAACAACATTTTCGCAGCTTTTCCGTTTTCCGTCCTGTCATGGCTGTTGGCTCATAAATTTTGTTTGGGTTTATTTTAGCTTTCAGCAAATCAATTTTTTATTCCCGCCAGAGCTACTCACTACAGGGAGAACTAAATTAATTGAAATATATATATTTATTCCTGCGAAGAGTGAATTTATTTTTTTGGGTAAATAGCGCTTCCTGTAACGAACTTTGGGCTGGGCTGTGAGAATTCCCTTGAATTAGTGCCTCCACCTCGACGCTTGTGAGTTCATTCCTCCTCTAACCATTGACTTTTGCATACGCCTCGAGTTTAGTTCTGGGCTGACTTTCAATTATTCCATCGTCATATTCAATATGCAAATCGCTGCGAACCAACCGTGAGCCCGCTGGCCTGAGGTGAAACAAATGTTCAGCCAATTGGAAAATGCAAAAAACAAAAAGCTAAAAAAAAACGGAATACGAAATAAAAACTACATAAAATGTACACAAAATGTGTGGATTGAAAACAGCAGAAGCACATCGAGTATATGGCATAATTGAATAATATATCGAAAGTCCGGTCTGATCGGATTTCGCAGCCATAGGTCAGACCATGGGGAAGGGTTTCAATTGAATTTCATATCCAAGTTATAGGGAGAACTAGATTCCGAAAAAAACGCAAAATCGTATAAATAAAAATAATTAAATAATTAATGTCATTAAGTTATGCGATCCCGACATTGATTGCAAAACAAAAAGCGACGCAAACCGAGGAGCATTTCCATATTCGCAGACAGCGCAGACTGCATATATTCAAAAATGGAATACATCGTTGTGGCTTATACTCCATATAAATCATATGGAAATAAGCAGCAACTCTCTGCGAATCTGCTTCGATTTTCATTTTAGCGATATTAATTTAATTTATTATCCCGCACTAATGAGTTAACATTTATTAATCCCCGAACCAGCAACAAGGCACATGAATATATAACTATATATAGCTGCGAATGTACATATATGCCTTCATATGCGGTGTATAAATAAAAACCGCGCCAAACAAATTGATAAAATTAAATAAAAAACATCCCCACTCACACAGCCAGAATGTTTATCACCTTTTTAAAGCTTATGGCCAGCAATTTTCAAATTTAATGTGAACTCATTTGTAATTATTAATATACAGCAACTATTTACTGAAAAGTATGTTCAGGATTTAAGTTTAAAGCCCTTTAAATAAATAATTAAGTTTTCTGGCACTGGTATGCAAATGGCCGAAAATCAAAGCTTTCAAAACCAATTAAAGAAACACGCCTGCCGAGAGGCCTCCAAAAATATACTCAAGACTCAGTCAAGCCGATTTCGGTGCCTTTCCCAAAACTCATTTCTGCTTCTATGAGCCGAAGCCATATTTAAATCATATAGTTTTTAAGTTGCTCCATTAAATCGAAATCGATTTTTGATTTATCATAAAAACAAGCTCTGCCAATAGCAGCTGTTAACGTTTAAATTAAAACAAATCAGAAACTGGAAATGCAAAACCGAAGAAATATAATTTATATGTATAAATTAGTCCATAAAATCGGAGGGGGGACTGGTGCAGTCGGACCTGCAGAGCCATGGGTTTCTAAATGCTTCGATTTGTGACACATTTCAAATGTCTGCCTACCACTTTTTATATTTTATTAAGCTTCCTCTCCGAAAACGCCACAATTATTAATGTTGGCCCAAACTTTTCGGAGTCTTATCAATAAAATGGAAAACAGTCAGAGCCCGTAGGTCGAAACTATATTATGGAAATAATAGCTTCAGAAATGGGGAAAAGACAATCATGACAAATTTGTTAAACATTTTTAAATGGTTCAGTTACGTATCGAAATTTGTAAATTTTGTTTTATGTTCCGCTGATAGGAGACTACTTTCTAATTTTGGTTTTTCTTTCTCCAAAAACTTTTGGGCACGACTTTTAATTAAATGCCTTGCCAGCTCGCTCACCTTTGTCGGCGCTGCGAGCGCGATCCTTCAGCTGTTTGACAATGCCATATTTCACTGTGCCAAATTGTATCATTTTATTGATGGTCTCCTGGTGATTATCCTTGAAGTCACTACGCATCGCACACAAAACGTTGGACAGGTGATTTTTCATCAAGAGAACTTTTTCAAAAACGCACGCTTCAAGCACTTTCTCTTCTCGAGGATGTTTTGGTTTTTCGTTGTCGTTGGCTTTCCCGCGACTCGTTAACTGTTGATCATTGCACCATGTTTATTATTGCATTGGTTGTGTGATTGTTATAGGGAAAAATAATTCTTTCTTTCGATTTTCTTTCTGGCTCATACCGCCACCGTGAAAGTAGGGCTGTAGCACTTTGCGTTTTGCCGTCGGCAGGAGGTATCGCGCGATGCCGTTGGCTGTCTGGCCGATTTAACTTAATTCGTATTTGTAATTACAACTACTAGTTGGCTAGCTGGCCGGTGATTTTCATCGTTCTGCGGTGGCTCTTGTTTTGATTTTGATTTTCGCGGCAGGGACTCGGACTCGAACTCGTGGAAAACTGTGCGAGTTACGCATACGCAGCGTAGTCATACGCAACGTGGCCCAGCGCGGGAGAGAGTATAGAGAGTATGTCGAACGTTACGTTCAGCGCGTCGAAATAGCACTGACACAAAATATTTATCCGTCAGATACGTTCCGAAACAAATACAGCCGCCCGACCCGAGACTTCTTTTCCGACTCGGCTGACGTTCGGCTCGCCGCTTCGTGGGCCCCGCGACCGGTTCCGGTGCGTTGGTGTGTGTTCGTGTGCGTGAGCCTCTCGTGTGTGTGTGTGTGCTGCGATATTACAGAAACTGGCATATCCTGGCATATCATTCAGCCAACCCACCTTATACGAGGTGGCTCTCTCTCGCATTTCATATAATTTTTCATATGCCCTCTCTCGCTCCCTCTCATCATAATTTTTATTAAACTGCGATCTCGCTTGCTCGCCGCCGCTGTTACTGTTACTGTTGCCAGCCCTCTCACTCACACTCAGGTGTGTCGGGTTCTTCTGTTGTTTTACCTGAGACCTGGAGAGACGTTTATGAAACTTGTTCGGTAAATTATGAGCTGCTCTCTCGCTCCCACAAAAAAAATCACAAAAAGGGGAAGAAAAATGTTGCGCCGGCAGAGGCGCTGCTGCGGCGTCCGCGACAGTGGCAACTTCCTTCCGCCTTTTGCGGCTCACCTTTGCGCCATTGTTGTTGTAATATTCTTCGGGAGAGGTGCGCTGACTGGCTCTCTCTCTCTGTCGTGGGCTCCAAAAGTTCCCTCGCTCGCTCGCACTCTCGATTAATAATTTATCATAATTCATAGGGGGCCAAGTGCCCTGCCCTTGGGCAGCCGGCCATCTCGCTTGCACTCGCACAAAATGGCGCCTGCCATTTGTTGCGCTCTCTCTTACTCTGGCTTGCTTTGTCTCGCTCCCACGCTAGTGCTATCTCCGTCGTTGGCGCAGTTATGAGCGTTGTTGTTGCCTTTTTTAATTTCGGTTTTATAAGATTTTCTGTTCTTCGCTATTGTTCGTATTTTGTCAGCCCCATCGCCCCCACCCACCTACCCAAATCTGACTTGGGTGACTCTGCTTATTCGTCAGTTTTTATATATGAGTATGGATGAGTTTGAGTGGGGGTATGGATGGATGGATGTGAATGTGTGTGAATATTATGAGCCATTCATCAAATTGTTTTTGTTGCTTGTTTTTGTTTCTTGTGACTTGGGCAACTCCCACTTCTTTAATTATTTTCTTATAGCTATCGCCCTCTCGCTCGTTCAGGAAAGAATTTATTCCAGCATTTCAAGTTTTTTTTTATAAATCCTTTCGTACCAGTTGCTATTTTAATTGCAAATGTTCTTTTGTCTACCTGCAACACCTGGCGATAATTTACCTAAATTTTTAATTGAAATTCTGGCTTTAGAAAAGCATCTGACAAATGCATTATGATTAATTGAGTGATTACTTTACAAAGTTTTTCTTAGACTGAGTAAATGACGAATAAAATTGATCGATTGTTTAAAGAAAAAGTAATTAAACCATTGAGATATTAGCCATCTGTATTGTTGGGTGTTGAAATTTGCATCTTCAAATATGCAAAAGTCACATTATTAATTATGCACACCAAAATGTGTTCGTTGTTGTCTTGACATCTATCCCGCCTATCGTTGATCTCTTGACCTATCGATATTCTCGTTCACTTCCTTTCTGGCATCGACAGCGTGTGGTACACTAAAAATCTAATTGGGCGTTATTATTTATTCATTGGTGGTTTTCTGGTTAATACTTAATTGTATTACCTTTTTATTATTAAATAACAATAGGTTATGGGCCCAGACACAATTACAATGAATATGTGGTAACGCTTTGATTGTTACAATATAAAAGTGTATAAAGTGGAAAAAAGTTTAAAAGTGTGTGTGTGCATACGAATATGCAATTCTGCAAATGTACATACGGAATGTACATGAACAACAAGGAGTGATCACTAAATAATAAAGGGAATCGTTAAAAGAATTAAATAATTTTTTTTTATTTTGTTATATATTTCCACAGCAAAAAGCACACATACATTTAACCAATTCGCCGAGATCTTTCTAGAGACGCTTCGACGAATTTGCCGCAAATCTCCGCGTGGTGGCAAGACGGAGTTACCAGACAGTGCTTTTTGTGGCATAACAAAAAGCCAACGTTAAAATATCTGAAGATTTTTGGTTCGACGGTATATGCATTGAATAAAGTACAAAAAGGAAAGTTTGACGAAAAGTCAATTAAAGCTATACTTGTTGGATATGAACCAAATGGTTATAAACTATGGAATGAGGAATCGAGGAAATTTATGACAGCAAGAGATGTTGTGGTGGATGAAATAAACATGCTAAAACCAAGAGTTTTACATGGAAAAGATTCGGATGTTCAAAGTAATACTGTTGAACAAAATAATGAATCTTTAACTAAAGAAAATGAAGAGTTGGATTTTCCTTTAATGGAAAATAATGAATCTGTTGATTCTGAATTAAATGAACAACTCAATGAAAATTCCACATATCTTGAGAATGCCGATCCAGTCGTTGAAACTGGTGATAAATTAAATGAAAATGAAGAGGAAGAAGAAATCAGACGTAGTGAAAGAATTAAAAGTAAACCCAAATTATCATATCGATTTTTAGAAAGATGTCTAATGAATACTCAAATAAGCTTAAATGATATTCCTAATACCTTTGATGAGATTAAGTTTCGTGAGGACAGATCTTTCTGGGAGAATGCTATACAAGATGAACTTAAGTCTCATTTTCAAAATAATACCTGGACTTTAGTGCATAAGCCAGATAATAAGAACATAGTTGATTGCAAATGGGTATTTAGTATTAAACAAGATGAATTTGGGAACTTAGTAAAGTACAAAGCAAGACTTGTAGCGCGGGGTTTCACTCAAGAATATATGACTGACTACGATGAGACATTTGCACCAGTTGCACGAATATCCAGTTTTAGATTTTAGTAACTCTTGGGAAACTAAAAGTAATCACTCAGTTTGAAAAGCATATTTCACATTTTTTCGAAAAATAGTTATAGCTACTAGAGCTACTTACCCTTATATCCGAAATCCTCCGCGCGAGTTGACTTTATTACAGAACCACACCAGGAATGTGATAAATTCGGCTGGGAAAAAGAGAGAAAGGACTTGCTTTCTCCTCTCGACTTGCCAGGACGAAAAAAAAAACAACAATGAGCTGGAATAAAGGGAGGCATTAATAACGCTGCCGGCGTCGACGTCGCCGTCCCCCCGAAGGGATGAGTGGGGGAGCAGAATGGGGGCTGTCATAAATTTCGGCTGGCGAGAGCCACCCGAAGAGAGTGCCAATAAAATGCTGAAAAACGGGAGAAGTAGAAATAATATTACATATAAAAATGGAAAAGAAAACTGAAGTAGGGAAGAAAAGGCAGTAAGCATGGGGAAGACGGAGTGGGGTATGGGGCCAGCCACCTTGCGCACCAGTAAGAAAAAGCCACCAACACCAGCATCGGCTGCGAGAGTATGGGTGTGTTTATGTACAAGGCAAATACATAATTCATAACGCTCATATTCCCTCATTTTACGCCAGCGTCGACCAACGAAAAAGCCGAACAGCGGATCTGCCCTTTTCATATCTGCCATCATATTCACACCCATACTACAGTGACCCCTATAGTAGCCACTCTCAACACAGTCTCTCATACACGCACACTAGCGCACTCAACAGACTCTCATAATAGAGTCTGATAGACTCTCATAATCATAACGAAAACAACAACAGCTATACTTGCCTACAGGTTGCCTTCTCTCTCTTTTTTCTGTAACGCGGAATTCTCTCTCCTCTGTTAATGTTAAAGTCTTATACGCCTGCGAACTGTTATTGCGAAGGGGGAATCACTTCTGTTAATACTATGTTTTCGAAGTTCAGAAATCGAACTTTGAAAAGACTGAGTTTACTTTTAGAAACCTAATATTTAAATCAGTGGACGGCACTCAATACATTGATACAATTTTAAGGCATAAGTATTAATAAAAAATAGCCGAAAGTATTACACATTTATTCTGTGTGTGTGGCAGAGCTCGGGCACAGAAATATTCTATGCCGACCACAGATTTAAATACAAATCTTTAATATTTATTTTATTTCGTCAAATTTAAAATCAAGATTGGACCATTTCCTAGTCTTTGGTTGGTTTCCTATAAATGATTTCATTTAATTTATGGCTATGCAGATTGGTATCCATCATAAAAAGTTCCAGATAGGCATGATATATGGCAAAGCTATGAATAAACAATCTGCAAAATCCATTAGCTTCATAACCATAAACAATGGATATAAGTTTTTTATTTTCTGGCTAAAACTTAAAAAGGTTAGCTCGAGGATAGCTTAATTAAATAAAAATGTGACATCACTTTGTCTTGTTTTTCCAAAAACGTTAAGCATCGTGAATGTTTTTATTGTTTATATAATTTTTAATTACCTATCGGAATCCTCTATCAATTATTCATTGATTGAACCTTTCGAATACCGGCTGAAATCAAAATTCAATCGACAAGCTCCGTTTTTGTCACCCTACTTCTTCAACCCCTTTAACCAGTCCCTCTCTTCCTTATCTTAGGGCCATAATCTGTTGGCCGAATTTCAATATAGCGTTCTGCGGTCTCTTTGTTGCCCTACATTAAAATCCAAAACGAAAAAAAACTGAAATTAAACGCAACTGAAATAAATAAAAAACGGAATTGCTTCCGTTCGGGTCGGATCGGTTTCTTGGGACAAATTTATGGGGCAAGGCACTCAAACGATCCTGCCGAGTGCGGTTCCCTCAAAGTCCCTCCGGGGAAAGAGCAAAGGAAATCCCGAGGCGGAGGAAATCGACTTGAAAGTGAATGTGAAACGTAAATGCGGCGAGCATTTCAAATACCCGACGATCGGCTGCCGTAATTATTGGTCATTCTAGGGGCCGACAACAAATTTTCCAGAGTCTCAGGCACGTTCCTTTCTTTGCTAACCCCCCTGCCCCTGCCCCAGCTTGTTCGCGGGGTGTCCTGGCAAAAAGGATTCGCTGTTCGTTTGTTCTGGCCGCCAGCGCTTTTCACACTTGCCTCTCATAAAAATTATGGCAGTTAGTTCCAGTAATTTTAAACGAATATTCGACGATAGGTTTATGGAACTGTGAACTGAAAGGTCTAGCAA